TTTTTTTCTTAATTAATTTTATTTTTTTTTTTAAAACAACATCAAAAAACCAGTTTTTATTCTGCTTATTTGATTTTTTTTTTTTTATTTTACAAGTGCTGGTGTTTTTTTTGTTTTTTTTTTTACATAAAAGCATTTGTTATCACTTTATTGAAACACTACTGAAGGAGGATTTCATGCTTGAAGACACAAACAATTTTGTGTATGGTAATGAAAAAGTTTTCTCAAGCTTTAAATAAGACAGACAAAATATGTATAAAAACATTTTGACTACAGTTAAGAAAAAAAGTACATGAGCGCCAATTAAATTGTACATTAATAAAGAAAATTGTTCTGCTCCAAAAAGCCTCATTCCATGTGTTTATTATTTGGATACGTTTTTTAAAAAAAACAATTCATTTCATTGGTCAATATTCATGCAGGCACTGACCTCAAGCGCCTTTATTTTTATAAATCTCCAAAGCTTTTGTATAAATGCATAGATTTTTTAAATGACACAAAGATTAGTTCAAATTATTATATTGTTTTTAGTAATAAAATTAATTTTATTAATTTAATTACATTTTTTTGGTGTTTTTGTTTTTGTTGTTTTTTTTACATTTCATTGAAATAGTAGGCAATAAAATTGTTTCAAAAAGAAGAAAAAAAAGGGGTTGGGGGGTGTTAAAGCATGATGATTTAAAAGTTAACCACTTTAATTTTTATCATTTTAAAAATCTGTTGTAATTATTGTAAATTACATCCTACAATTGTGAATCTTATACCGGTAGCTAAAAAATTTTTTTTTGGGGGGGGGGGTGCAATAGTCTAATAAAATTATGTGATTAGGTAGGGCGTTGGGTTTTTAAAAAAATGCTTCGGGATTACTGCTGTGATTGTGTTAAAATGTGTGTTGTAGGTTCCCATACTTCATAGTATATCACTGCAAATATAATTTGCTTTGGTCCCAAGATTTTGTGTGCCTCATTAAAACGTGTTTGGGAGCTGGAGGTATGGCTTATCTTAACGCAGTTTACAGGATTATTAAAGTAAAGGCCGCCACATCTTGTTCAAATTTAAACACTTGATAATCGGCACATAAGGTAGGCTACATTTTACTACAAATTTATGAGGAACAGTTGGGAGGGAATGGATTGTAAAAACTGATTTTACTTTTAAAACCAGTTTCATAAAACCGATATCCCGTTTTCCAGGGACGAAAAAAAAAAGAAAACAACGATAATTAATGTCACTAAGTTGGAGTTAACCTACTGTTAAATGTGACCAATGACAAATGAAGTCTATTTGTTTCACATTTATGTTTATTCATCGGCCCATTCAGCTGCACAGCAGTATCGCGTCCACTTTATTTTCACTACATCCACAGCATCCACAGTCCAGTGGACGTTCGAATGAATAGAAACATAGAATTACCAAAGCAGGCAACTTTCCTTGAAAAAAAAAAACTGCAATTAGCCGAAAATGCCACCGCTCCATAATATAATATAAAGATTGTCACAACATAAAGTAGATAATGATTTTTTTTGGTACCACTAAAATATGCGAGTTTTTGGATGTTAACTATAGAAATAGTAGGCCTATAATCTCCTATACTATAAAAAATAAAGTAAACAACAGGTAAACAATACAAAATGGCACAATCTATATTATGATAATTATAAGAGTAAAATTGGTTTGTATTCACTGAATTAGTCAGTAAAACCAATAACATAGATAGCACCATTTAAAAACCTACTGAGAATACAGAACTAGAACTTAACTTTAACCATGGGTATGCCGTAGGACGTAATCATCTTCTTAGAATTAATATAAAGCAATAATAGTAATAGTACTATCATATGAAGTCCGTTAAAATTGTAAAAAATATAGTTCAGTACAGCCCATAATTCAGCTAACTTCGCATTATTCTTTTTCTTTTTTTTTTTTTTAATCGCTAGACTTGCGGTAATAAACCATATTCGGCTAAATTCCCAGTCGAATGCGGTTTAAGTATAACGCTGAGGTGCATATAACTCTTCCCATATTTTAAATAATATGTAGACCCTGTCATGTAAACGGTAATTCTAATGTAATAATGTCAACACATTAACATATATAATATATATAAGTGAAAATTTGTTTGTTTGTGGATTTGTTCCATATACGCTTTTCAATGGATTGATGGATCTGACCAAACTTGGCACATATATCCATCATTATCCGGAAGAACCCATAAAGGGTTATGCAATTTTTATAACATTCCGTATGGGGCCGGTGGCGCCGAATTCTTTTTTTTTCCTTATAGAGCTATATGAGCAAAATTAACAACAAAAATATTCCTACATGAAGATGGATCTTGACCAAAATTTGTACACATACACTTGGTTATCCATGTTAAAAACCCAAAGGATAGTGAACTCATAGTATCCATTCCCATGGGGCCGGGGCCCCATTTCATTTGTGGCTTATATACACTATATAAATATAAATAGGCTGAGACAACACTATAGGTTCCATGTGAATCGATGGATATAGGTTTTCGTAGAAGCAATACACTTCATTGTCCGTATTGAAATATCGGTGGATTTAAAATTAACAATATCCAATCTAGAATGTTCTAGAAAATTTGATAACTTGAAAAAGCTTTTTTGGCATTTTTAAACCGATTTTAATCGAACAAATTTTAAATTTTAACTCCATAATTTATCTGAATGATTTTTATGGGGTTCCCCATCTCAGGCAAAACTGTTTCGGTAAAGTTATGTAATGGGCCCCCACTGGGCCACCTCTTTTAGCTCAAATGCATTATAGCTATAGCAGTGCATTTAGTTGTATAATTTTTCGAGTTCCAAAAATAATTACTTAGAAAGTTATTGTTTACACGTTTCGAGGAGGTTATTAAATTTCATCTAGAATGTTCCAGTAATTTCTCTATAGTTCTACGGGGATATATAAAGGGATATAAAAGCTTATAGTAACGTTAACGAGATCCAGGAGTAAATTGAACCCGACGGTAACGTGATCCAATCGGGTAACGGCATCAAACCGGGATTGAGATCCTATCAGGAAATGGGATCCTATCAGAGAAGAGGATACCACCGAGAAAAGGGATACTAACGGGATCCGTTATTTATTTATTTATAAATGCATTTATATTATAATTCATTTTTTGTAAGGGGGGGGGGGGTAAAAATGTTGACATAATTAAATAGGGGGTCTTCGAAAGTTTGAAAGTTGTTGACAGTCACCAATTGCGTAAAAATTATTGACGTAATTAATGAACGACCCCTGATATATTTGACACGTTGGTTTATTTCTGAAAAATCATAATATTTATAAATGCATTTATATTATAATTCATTTTTTGTAAGGGGGGGGGGGGTAAAAATGTTGACATAATTAAATAGGGGGTCATCGAAAGTTTGACAGTTGTTGACAGTCACCAATTGCGTAAAAATTATTGACGTAATTAATGAACGACCCCTGATATATTTGACACGTTGGTTTATTTCTGAAAAATCATAAGATCTCTTGGGTAAAGGTTTGTGGTGTTTGCACAGATGGTGCTCCCGCTAGGCTAGGACGTCATAGATGGTGCTCTAGCAATGCTAGGATGTCAATCTGGATTTCAACGTTTGTTACTGAATGAGTCACCAAAACTCACTGATTGATTCATCGGCTAATATTATCAAGGAAGAAGCTGCCACAAGGGTTACAAGAAGTAACGAAAAGCGTCATAAATTCTGTCCTAAGTCCTGTCATAATTTCAGTCATAAGTTCTGTCAAAAATTTTGTGAGCACTTTAAACAGTCGACTGTTTTTGCAACTGTGCAACGAGTTGGATGAGCCGAAAAATGCTCTGCTATTTCACACCGAAGTGAGTTGGTTGTCAAAAGGAAAAAAATTGTAAAACCTGTTTTTGAGATTCCTGATGAACTCAAAACTTTTTAAATCAAAAAAGCAAGATCGCAGTTCGGAGCTCTTTTTAGTGATAAAAGTGAACTGCAGAAAATAGCTTACTTGGTTGACATCTCTGTCATCTTGAATGAGTTAAATGTATAACTGCAAGGACCAAATGCAACATGCCTCAATTTGTCTGAAAAGATACGATCATTTAAATGTTAATGTCAGCTTTGGCAAATAAAAATTGGATAAAAATAAAATTTACATGTTGCCTATCTGGTTTCTTTGAGAAACATAAAATTGAACCAACGGGATTACGAAGATAAATTCTGCGAGAGAACACTTGCTCATTCTTGGAGACAAAATTTCATCCTACTTTCTAAATCTACCTGACACACCATTTGCACTTGCCAGAAGTCCATTCACAGTCAAAGTTGAAGATGTTCCTGATACAATACAAGAGGAGTTCATTGAACTTATTAAGAGTGATACAGCGAGAACTGATTTCCAGTGCCAGTTTACTGTTGTTATATTAAGACTGTTACCCATGCTACACCATGCTTCAAGACAAAATTTCATTTTATAATTAGAAATAGATATTTCACAATATATAATTACCTATTGTTTTTTGTGATTAATCACTATGCTTGAATTATATGTTCAATTTGTAACAATAAAAATACATCTTGCTTATCAGATATTTACATTGCGATTCATAAAAGAATCAAAATTTCAGGTATGAAGTAGCATCGAAAATAATTTTATGGTTGGGGGTCGCCACAATGTGAGGAACTGTATAAAGGGGTCGCAGCATTAGGAGGGTTGAGAACCTCTGCTGTAGAGTGTAGAGGTTCCTTCGTTCCAAATGCTATCACAGCAAATTCCGGGCATATCGGTTAGTATATATATTAATTCATTATTTTGAAGTTTTATATTTACAGTCTATTTTACCCCCCCCCCCCCCACACTTTTTTTCTTTCCTCTCACTAAACACAGCTCACTAAATCTGATTTGCTTTAATTCGTTAAAAATTATTATTGTTTTATTATTATTAATTTTTGTTGTAATAGTATTTTAAACTTAAAGTTAAAGCTAGCTTTTTTTAAAAAAAAAGTGCACCCAAAAGGTGTTTCTAATATTGAAAAAGGCGAATTCTTGGAATAGAGAATTCCCGATGTTACCTACTTTTCCTACGCCTACTTGTAGTTGGCCTACTTTCAGTAAGACTAGAATAATAGCAAATAAGTAGACCCTCTATTATTTTATGCCTTGCTGTTATCATAATTAATTGGCCGAGATTTACTGCAATTTACAACAAAGCCAAAGGGATTTACAACTCTCCACACAATCATTATGACACAGCACAGTATGATGTTTGGTATTTTAGATCAGAAACTGCAATGGATCAAAGATCAAACGAAACAACTGCACAAGGTTGCTGATAATTTATGCAATAAGGTAAGTATATCGAAGCTCTATTATTTAAAAATAATGCTTAAAATATCAATTTATAGAAGCGTCTAAGTCGTTTTAGAAAAAAAAATGTGTGTGTGGGGGGGGGGCGGGGGGGGGTTCGAAGAGGTAGGCCTCTCTCTATGACTCTTATTCAACATTAACATATATTTAATGATATATAATTATTATATATTATATAGCCTATGCGGCACTATGCATAGCCTATAGTATAGCCTATCATTTCTGTGATTCCCGGTACTGATGAAAAGTACCCACCGAGGGCACTTTGTAAGTAGGCTATAATTACTTAAAATTATATCGTAAAATAATAAAATGATAAATGAATTCTGAATAAGAATAAGTAATCACTAAGTCTAAGTGACTAATCTGAATCTGGTTATTAAAAATGCTTTACAATTTACCAAGCAGTTGTTTTAAACTTGTGGTAGAACAACTATTAAATTTTGCAATTTGCAAATCATATATAGGCCTACTTGCAACTAGTTTAAATAGAATAATAATCAAGAAATATTTGTATGCATATCTTTTTCATTTTAGCAATATAGAAATATAGGCTATAATAGTTTTCAATGCAGAAAACTACATTTTACATGTAGGCCTGTGAACTAATTTTTTTTTTTTAATTTTGAAATAAATAAATAAATATTATTATCTGAACTTGGAAGGCACAGCCAGAATTATTTGATAATCAATTTAAAGTATGGTAAATTGTAAATACTTTAATAAAAATAAACACATATTATTAGGATACATATTAACTGGTACATACACATAACTCTTACATTAATTTACAGGTTTTTGAGGAAACAACGGAAGTTCTGAAAAACACAGATACAAATAAGAATCAACTTCGAGAGATAAATTTGAAATTGGATGGATTGTTTGATTTCCTTACGGAAAAATGTAGACTGATAGATGGTAGCTAATTTTGATAACTTAAAAATCATCATTGTCATTATTTGATAAATTAAATCATCTTAACTTTTTTTTGCAAATACAAACAACAAAATGTATTATATTATTAGTAAATTTGGAGAGATAGCACCATGGCCGCCATCTTCATCTTCCCGCGACCTGTGAACTTATGTCCTAGATGTATCCCTAAACCTAACCTGAACCCTAATTCTAAACCTAACTTGAACCCTAAACTTATCCCTAACCTGGGTTTTGACCCTATCGGAAATCACGCAAATGACGTCAGTGCAATCTCTCCAAATTAGCCGTATTATGTTATGTGGAACTTATTTACATTTCAGATGCAGCACATGATGGATTTTTTGAGAATGGGAAAGTTGTCAATGAAGCTTGTGAACCACAATTATCATCTTTTAAAATGAATAAAAGATACTCAGGTTATTTAAACATAAAAACTTTATAAGATTAATGATTGTGTGGTCGGCTGTTACAATAATGAAACCATCTGTAAAATGAAACTTGTGCTGAAAGACGCATATTTGACTCTATTTTTTAAATCATGTTTCTGTCTAAAAGTAAAGGAGTTCTGAATACAACAAAAATAATAACTTTTCTGAATAGTAATTAATTGGTGTAATTTATTTAGAAACATTAAACAATTTATTTAATTTAGTAATCCAAAGTAATAGTATACAATAAAGTTACTTACCTTCATCAGGCCTTCTTTAATTATTGATGACACAGGTATTATTAATTTCAGAAGCAGAAACAATAAAGATTGTTAATCGCCTTGAAGTATTAGAAGAAGCAGTTTCTTCGCTGCGTTCTGGCCAACAGCATCTTTCCATGTTACAAGTGGAGTCTGAAAAAAAGCTGACAACAAAATTCCATGGAATTGACAATGAGTCTCAACAGATTCAAGAGCGACTTAAAAATTGTGAAGAGATGGGGAAAAACATTTCTACTGACTTAACAACACTTATATATATTCCCATTGTTCTAAAAAATATTCAAAACGAAACTCAAGAAATGGCTCAGAAAATAGAACAACAAGAAGCAAAACTAACTGAAATTCTGCAGTTCAATGTGGTAATACAAACGAACAAGATGTCAATAGATGATTTAGTTCTAAAAGCTGAAAGACTATGCATTTCTTTGAGTGATTTATCATCATTCCAAGAGAAAGAAAGAGAAAGGCTTTCAAAAATAAAAAATGAACTAACAACAGTTCAAACATTTGTATCTATTAACAAAACTGATTTAGATCAAAAGTTGAAAGCAATTACAGAACAGGTTTGTCCATGAGAAATTTCTAAATATTTGTTAAACCTGAACTTATTTGGTAATTTATTTAATTTTTAATAAGATTCTAATAAAATAAAATACTGAAATAAGAGTTTGAATACAAAAATTGACACAAACCGTTATCATAATGCATAAAGATATCCTTTGGGATTTTCAGAAAATTTAACTATTAAAATCACATTATAGTCCTACATGATTTAATTTGAAAACAAATTATAGCAGAATTACTTTTTTGGGCTATAAAATCATAATTTTATTTTATAATATAATATAAAATTTTATTTTTTAGTATGAACTGATGAAGCATGTTCTTCTTAAGAAGGTGGAAAATCTAGAGAGGCTCAGGGAAATTTTAAACTTGAACAGTCAGTCAAAAAGATCCAAAAAGGTGAACAAAAAGAAATTGCTGTGCTTTTTAATTTATAACATTTTTTAAATTTTTTTTTAACAATGTTACTTTTTTATGGTGGATAGAAAATGTTGGTCTGATATTACTAATAAGTACAGAAGCTAATTTAAATAAAAGCAAGCTGTTAACTAATACTGGTTGCTCACCAATTTTTACAACTCAAATCATTTAAAAAAAGAAATTTGTGTTTTACAAAACACACACCACTTTAAAGTTTGAAGTATTTTTTAAAAAAGTAACTACTTGTTATGTAATAGGAAAGAAAACTGAAGCCTGCCAGGCTTTTAAAATTAATTATGTTAATTTTTATTTTTAAAAAAGGAAAAGTTTATAGGCTTTAAAACAGACCAATTGTTTACTCCCAGCATGACCTTCCTTGCACATGTTCAGTACAAAACCAAGTGTCATTTTTTTCTTTCTCTCAAAGCTGCAAATGTTAAAAATTATATTAACATGAAAAATAAATTATCTTTGATACAAATTTGAATTACGTAAGCAACTTACATTAAATGGGCAAGGGACTAAATGCATGCCTTCAAAGAGCTTTCATAATGAGAAATCAACTTATTTTTAAGACAAATTAAAAAATCCACCACACATCATAAAAGTTCTACTGTACAGGAGGTACATCATTTCCTTATTGGTTCTGTTTTGCTGATATCTGAAAAATTATGAATGAAAACTTTTAGCTTAAAAAAGAATGTGAGGATTGTTTAACTTTCCTTTGTTCTTTTCACTAATTAGACTGTGGTGCAGTCACTAGACGCTGGGGTAGAAGAGTTTCAATGTAAACAGGACTCGCCATTGTCTTGTGAATTAAGACTTATCAAACAGCGAATTTTAGGCTTGGGTACGTTTTTTTTTAGTCTTGCAGAGTACCAATCTTTTTTTGCCCCTAAAGATTTTGATCATCTTCCTTTATATCTGATTTTCTCAAATACCGGTATTACTGAACTTATGTAAGTTTTATCATTAATCAGTTATTTGGCATTTACAAAGAATGTAACTGAAAATATAATTGAATTTAACTAAGGTATCCACACTTTTCCATTATATAACATTTCATAAAAAACCTATAGTTTTTTTCTATTATTCACTGAAAGGGCTACAAACTTGTAACATGTGTTTCATTTATTTTAATATCTTTTTAATATTAAAACAAAAAAAATTTTTCTTATCAAAATTAAATACTTTCTATTTTTTTGTTTGCATCCCCCACTAGAAAATCGATATATATTTGCACCAGTGGGATTTACTGCATATCTTGATGAAACAATAGCTGTAAAGAAAGGTGAATTTTTGACAAGTTATTTAAAGAATGTGACTTTCAATCCTGGTAACCACTTTGACCAAGAGACTTGTAGATTCACAGCACCAATAGATGGAATGTATTTGATTGCACTAACTCTTTGGCAGCGAAATAAGGGAAAAATTGGGGTGAAAATACGGAAGTCCCTTCATTATCCTGGTTTAATAACTGGAACTGAGAAACCAGAAAATATTGGTAAAGTCTTTACTGAATCAGCCAACACTAGTAGTTGTGGCGTATGTCTAACTCACATGAGAGAAGGAGATACAATTGATGTCTGTATTATACAATTAGTTGGGATACCACTGCTGTCTAGCGCAACATGTTTAACCTGTTTCTTGGTTTAACTTCTCAAAAAAAAATTCTATATTCATGTATAAAAATAAATCATGACTTATCTGGCAATTGACTAGCTATTACTAGGTCATATTTTCTTCGGTTGATGTTTTTGAAACTTGTGGTTCAAGAACATCTGCCTTATTTGGTAAACGAATCCCTCCATCTAGTTGTTTATCAATTTGGCTAGAGAAACCGGTGACAAATTTGAACCCGCTACCCCCTTGTCTAATTTGTTTCCAATAACAAGTCCATTGATAAAGATTATTAATTTTTGTTTTTAATTTGGGTAAAACCAATAGTGATCTGCTGTTAGGTGTTTGAAAAATTGTATGACCAGTGATTACAAATTAAATTCCCTTCATAAATATTCTATATTTTTCATACTGTTCTTACTTGAATGTTATTAATTTAATAAAAACTGTTGTACATGTGTGCAACTGACATAGCTTTTCCAGGTGATATCATTTATTAAAAAGCATCTAGTACCCTATGACCGGACCTGGTGGTTATTGTTAAAGTTGCACAAGGTGGGAGTAACTGCCAACATGTGCAGGTGGGTTTCCGGTTTTCTTACAAACCCGACAATCAGCACAAAATTCGGCAGTGAAACTTCCAGGAAGAGAACCCTTGAAGAAGGGTTACCACAGGGGTCAGCCCTTAGTTGCACTCTCTTCCTAGCCTATATCTCTTGCCACAAAATCTAGCTACTAATGATGCGATGTATGCAGACGATTTGGTTATCTGGAGCACCGGTAAAGATGTACACCGCCTGCAAACACTATTACAGCAGGACCTGTCCTCTTTCAACAGGTTCATGCGGCGGTGGCACCTGGAAATCAACGCCGAAAAGAGGGTCTGTTGACTATTTACCTACGGGTGGACCATTCTCAAACAGGAGAGCGAGTTCATGGTGGGCGATATGGCGCCCCAATGAGACAAGCAACCGGTTTACCTGGGGGTCAAATTGGATCAGAAGGTACAAATGCACAATTTTTTTTCAAGACTTCTGCTTCCAGGCAACCGCCAAGCTTAATCTGGAAAAAAATTGGCTTGCACAAGTTGTGGCGCGGGAGCAAGAACGCTCATAGCTCTATTTCTAGTCAGTGTAAGGTCGGTGATGGATTACAGCATGCCAATCCAATCCTTTGCAACAAAGACCGCATTGGAAAAGTTGGACCGAATCCAGAATCAGGCTTTGAGCTTCGTCTGTGGCGCATTCAGTACCACATCCGTTGTGGAGGTCTTGGCCAATGTAGAACCACTAGATATAAGGAGGGGAAAAATAATTTTAAGTACCGTAGAGCGGTACCGACGGCTGAACGAAAAGGAACTGTCGTTCCAGATGCAAAACAACTGGGTAGCAGACAGGTGACTTAAAAGATTCTCATTTATGCATCAAGTCGTGGAGCTTGAGAGGACACTTGACCTGCCTCGCAATAGAGAACGTCTAACCGTAATCCCAGTCAATCCGCCTAACGTCCCTCCATACATCTGGCCTTGACCGATGCAGTCGTGGTAAAGCGCAGCCCTGAATATGTTCAGAAAGCGTCTGCCCTTAAGATCATGGCTATGTTTCTCAACATACCAGTGAAAGTGTTCAAGGACGGCTTTGCCTATTTGAGAGAAAGAACTGCTGGGTATGATGCTCTCATACTTAACCCAGCAGGGGGACTACCAAATCAAGAACTCCCAGTCACGGTGCCCTGTGGGACTGCGGCATCAAACTTTAATGCTGAGCTTGAGACCTTGCACATGAACCTAGAGAGCGTTTATCACATGTTGAAAATGACTCAGACTCAAGATCTGCTCTCGAGATCTTAGGGAAGAGATCAGGCAATACTCACCTATTTGACGCCATCATTGATGACGCGTGCATGATCGGTGAACTAGGATGCAAGGTGACAGTGCAATGGATCCCAGGTCATGCCAACGTCAATGAGAAAGTGGACTCTTTGGCAAAAAACGGGGCTGCCCAGCCTCAGTCAGAAGTACCAATAACTTATTTGGAAATAAAGAACTGGCTGGCAGACCATTTCAGGTCGAAGTGGTACAGGCCATGGGGAGACAACACGACTGACAGAGGCGTCTTTTCAAATTTTCCCACACCTAGCAGACAAGACCCATGGTGGGGGTTAAGCCGCAGACAGCAGAGCTTAGTGACATAGATGCGCACTGAGCACTGCCCCATCGGCACATACTTCTGGAGGCTAAATAACAACAGAGGCCCTACCTGCCGGCATTGCAGTCTGGTCCTGGAGACACTAGCGCACCTGTTGACCGAATGTCCCTCACTAGATGTCCCGGGGGAAGCCAGGGTGGTTGGAGAGCCCTACATGAGGAAAATGTTGTATGGCTCAGCTCAGCAGATGGAGCTGGTAGACAATGTATTTGCCGGAGTCATAAGAGAGTAATCTCAGACCTTCACCAGAATATGTGTTAGTTAGTACCCATTACATTGTATGAAGGAGTGCAAAATTGTTTGTTTTCATTTTAAGTGCAAAAATATTTACACTGTGCTGGCTGGTGGTGTGTCACATTGTAAGTCATACAAAGATTTAAATTCTTTTTAAATATCTTTAAAGATATTGTTGTAATGTTAAAAAGGCTCTATGTTGACAAATAAAGATGGTCTTAAAGACTCTATATTGACAAATACAGTCTTATATTCATGAATTTAATATATGTAGGATTGCCTATAGCGTAAAAAATGTCGCTGCCAGTACAGTGGTGTCACTTGGATTTTGTTACCCTGTGCGGTAACTCATGGTGTCAGCCCGCTCACCCCCCCCCCCCCCCCCCCAACAAAAAACAAAAAAAACAAAAAAAAAAAAAAAAAAAAAAAAACAACAAACAAACAGAAAACAAAACCAAGGCTACTCTTATTACCTTCCTCCTACCAAACCGTACAGAATCACCTAAAGTAAAGTCTGGCAATTATTCTTTAATATCTTATGGGTCTCATTTTATTATTTTTTTGTAAAGACTGTCTTCCGCGCCCCTTAATGACACAACTGTGACAGTAATATGTTAGGAAATATTCTGGCTTCAATCGGTTGTTCTGGAAATTAACAAGGCAGCTTCACACATTCCCTGTATGACTCGATTGGTCCGGTATTGCCAGAGTCGCGTAAAGACGATCATTTCAAGTGGATCGTTTTGAAATTTGCATTACACACAATAAATCAGAAGATGGAATGATTGCACGGCATCTCAGGTGACATATTATATAGCGGCATCAAAAGAATATTATAGAATGACAATTTGAAGCAAAATAGGACTAGGACAGGTGCTGTAAATTTGATGAAAATAGGAGAGATGGTATCTGATAGACTTTTTCCGGTGTAGGTCTTACCCGGAGATAGTACTTTCATCAGCCCTCCAAGGGTTAAGAATAGTACCTGTGCTGATGCCTTCAGGCCACGTCGGAGGGACAATGTTGACAGGGCAAAACTTATTATAGCTTATCACCCTCACAATCTGATAGCCAAACGTGTTTTCCTTAAACACCGCTCTATACTACTCGCAGACACTGACACTAGAGACATTTTCTCTTCCCCACCTCTCATTGTTTTCAGACGGGATAAAAATCTAAGAGACCTCCTTGTGCGCAGTCGTATCAACGCTGCCCCCTCCCACTTTGGGACGCAGCCGTTGCAACACTTGTCCTTTTGTCATCCAGACTCAACACATACGTTTCCCTCGGGGCAGTTTACAGATACGCGACGGCTTCCTTTGTACAAGCCGCAACATTGTCTACGCCATTGTCTGCACCCGCCGTCATATGACGTACATAGGGGAAACTGGACGCCGTCTCTCTGACAGGTGTACCGAACACCTCCTTAACATTTCACAAGATAAACAGTGTCCCGTCTCCAAACACTTCAATGGCAGCGACCACCGGGAAAAGGGATGCTAATGGGATCTGGATCCTACTCGGATCGGAATCCTCTGGGAACACTCAACCTACCGAGATCGGTAGCCCATCGGAATCCCACAGCTCTCCTGATCCAATCGGGATCCCTCCGGTATCGTTATCCCACTGGTATCAAGATACCACCGGGATCGGAATACCGATGGGATTGGGATCATACCGGAATTTGGATCCAGAGAGATCGAATCCAATTTTAACTGGTATACTAACGGCAGCGGAATACAGACGGGATTGAGATCCCACCGGGATCGGAATAATTATAAGGCTCTAGAGTGTAGAAGTTACTTCGTTTGAATGCTATCCCGGCGAATGCCGGGTACATCTGCTTGTGAAATTATAATTGAAGATTCATTCGATTTTATATTTTAATAGTCAAATATCGGCTGTTACAGTGAAAATGTGCAATGAAGTCAACATATTAAAAAATATCCACAATATCCACAATTTAATTAGTATTTACTGCATAGTCGTTACAATTACGTGTTCATTTTAATTACTAATTAAACAACACCTTAAAAACAAAGTTTTTTTTTTTTTTATAAATCCTTTATAAAATGTAATATCAAGCAATGGGGGTTGTGGCTGAAAATTTGACAAAAAATTCATTCAAGTAATGCACTTTATAACAATCCCATTTAGTGCAAACCACCCCCCCCCCC